TCACGAGGGGGATGATCATGGTGTTGCCTGTTGAGTATTACCATATCGGGGCTACCGAAACTATGTTAGTGCAGAGTACTTAAATGTAAGTACTGATAACAAAAGGCAAATAATAAGGAGTTGCAAGCTATGAAAATGCGCCGACAGACAGTTCTTTTATCTTTTCGGAGTAGAGAGATTACTTTAAGGGACGATTTTTAGGACATAGGTGTTAAGTCGTGAGATCAGTTAGGTTATGAAGAAAAGTAGGTTACATTCGAGTAGCTACTGAGTTCACTGTTGCATATCGTATCGCACTCCGCTTCCTGTTCACTCTTGGTCATTTTTTTAACGAAATTAGATTTTAACTTAACTATTGCGTTTAGTTTTCGGCATTGTATACTTTTGTCATTGCTGTTAGTCTCACTTGAGTCTAGGTACCAGTAGCACCATTGTACATGGTATTAATTTTTGTGGTTTGGCCGTCAACGAATTGATGAGATTCGTTATATAGGAGGAATTTACTAAGTAGTCGTTGAAACTGGCCGAGGGAACGGCATGCTCGTATAGGAGCGGGAAGTTTGTTCCACAGCATACTGTATTGCGTCATGAAAAACCTACATCGAAGTTTTGAGCGATACTTATTTATTGGGATGATGCTCTCGCTGTTACGCAGATCATATGCCTGTGTTGACTTGAAAGTGATAGCACATCTCGTTTTAGAGTTTGTAAATAAAAGACAAAAAAGAAGTGTTAAAGTCCGATTTTTTGCTGAAAGCCACTCGGTTGTGTCTGCAGCATGAAAGGCCACCTACGTGTAATCCCGACATGTGCGAAGGCCGAACGGTAACCCTTCTCACCTGTCTAATATCCCCGGATGCCACACCTGAAATTCTGCCCGCGCACCGGGATGAGTGGGGATATCTAGGTAAAGGGTTTTAAGTTACCGGCACAGAATGGCGCGAAAGCCCACCAGACGGTGTGGATGTCCAGCCACACACGTTTAGCTAGACAAATACATCAAAAATGTTGAGATCCGTACCAACTCTGGATATCACTGAGCCCTAGGGTATTGATATTACGAGGCTGTTTACCATTGCAGACTTTCAGCCTAATAGTGAAACAAATAAGAAATTTAAACATTGCTTTTGTTTTAGAACTTATTTTCATTGATTTTAGGTGAAATGAATCACCTAAGAGCCGTATTTCACTGTTCACATTTGGTAATAATGGGTACTATGCTGCTCACCATAATAGTCATCTACGTTTGACGTTATGCGAACCGTCTCCGTGTGTTCTTCAAATATAACTTCAAAAAGGTCAGTGCGACTTAAATATTCAAAGAAATCAGTGCTAGTGCCCAATTCTTTCGGCATCCTCTACGCGCTTAAGACACTAATATAAACTTCAGGTGTTGAAAGATACCTACTTGTTTCAGGATTGCATTGTGGCGACCAGCACGAGCCATCCATGTCTTCAAGGTTATCATGATTTCCTGAAGCCAGGTACATGGCAGTTCAGATGGAACTGGAAATTTCGCCTTTCAACTACCCTTTTTGTCAGCCTTTCATGGAAGAGTAAGAGTGAATGATACTTATCGCCTAGTTCTTAATGTGGTCGTAATCATCGCGAAAAGCATAGGATGACGAACAGCTGCTTGTCACTACAAAATCAAACCTTTATGGCTGACACCCACAATAAAGATACTAAGCCTGATTCGTGAGCTGCGGTCAAAGATCTCCGAACTGCATGCATGAAGCTGAAAGTAGTATAATATAGTGCAACATACCCTTGAGCTAATCATATTCTGATGTGTCTGAAGAGTACAGACATTATGTCTGTAATACACCATATATTGCTTCACCAAACATATAGAGCAAAACCAAACCCACCAGAAACTTGTCTGAAATGAAAAAGGAGGTTGAGCAATGTTCAGCTCGGGAGTCTCTCTTTCAGAGTTGCAGACAGGTTGGAAAACGAAGCACATTTAAGTATCTTAACTTTCTATTGACGATGGCAACCAGTTTCGTCGTAAAAATTCAGCATGCATAGACTGTTTTATCGAACCAGAAAAGGAGGCAGCTTTCAGGGAACCGTGGTTGACTTCGCGGAATGTAGCTAAACGCCATCTCCTAACTTGCTATGGGTCACCGCACCAAATTGAAAAAGTGCATGTTTTCTGTTTTGTGGAGATACATTTCGCCTGTTTCCACATTTTGAAAAGCAGTTTATCATTTTATGGCTCTTTATGTGGCCTACTTGCTGGAGACTGCTAGCTGTGCCAGACGTCTTCATTGGATAAATTGTGGGTATATTTGAGGGGGATGAGGCTCAAAAATAAAAGTGAGGTAATTAGACCTTTAAGTTATTGCAAGGAATGGTGATCACTGTACTTCTGACCTGAAGTCAATTTGGTGTAAACACTAGATTAAGTCGGGAGGAAGATCAAATACTAGTGGGTATTTTCCTGAGCGCAGTTGCAAATCCGCCGTCAAGTGCTCACCTGTGAGACATTTTTCCGTTTGAAGGTAGGTTGATGATTGTGAAACATGCGAAAAAACTGCTTTAACAAGTGAGTAGGTGGACATATTGCGACGGACTGCATCAAAGAACTGTAACTATCCCGCAATAAGTGGGGCAAGAATGAAAACAGCAGCTGGTTCACACGGGCTCGTAAAAGATGTCGGGTGTTGGGGTGTCACAAGGATCGCTTGCTTTGAGGGAGAAACACAGGTTTCCGTGCAACAATATTGGGAGGACTCAGGCACAAAATG